AGACGGCTAACAAGACAGTACTAGTATATACTCTCATAGAAATTAAACTCTCGTAGAAACTCTTCTATCTTGTCCTAGTTAGTACCTTGTCCTCAACTCAACTCAAGCAGAAGCAGAAACTCAACTCAAACCTCAAACATAAACGCGACTTCAACCCAAAAACAAATGTCCACTCATTCTCGTTACTTTTCCCCCCAAACCCTAACTCCAACCCGATGAATACCAATAGAGTCAATATTCACCTCACCTCACCTTACTGTATGAACCTGAACCTGAACCTGAACCTGAACTTATACTTGCTCAGTACATATATAAAATGCACACCCCCTTCGTGAATCGTGTCTAGTTACTTTATACGAAATTGCTATCATGGAATTTGAATTTCGATTTCGATTTCGGCGTGTGTTTGTGTTTGTTTTTGTTATTGTATTCATGTTTATATTCATGTTTATATTCATGTTTATATTCATGTTTATATCACGACTTACATCCCTTCATCATCTATCTATTTTCGATGGGTTTGAACATTCAAAGAGAATAGAAAATCAATATCTCTACCCTCCCATAAAAATAAAACCCACATCATCTAAACCCTCCCTCTCACTCTCCCTCCCTCCCTCCCCATTCACTCCCATCAACCCCCCCCCCCCCCCAATTCAAGTTATTCAATCCCAACCCCAATCCCAACTTCCCATCATCATATCCTCATTCCCACACACACACACACACATACTTATGCTACTTCCATCCCGAATATCAAAACCACGAAACTAACGCTGCCCATGCCAATATCTCCTCACCACTCACCACTCACCACTCCCAACAATCAAACATTCCAAAAACAATAATAAAATCTCACAAACCACTCAACTCCCCTGAGAATATACAAGAATTTTATGGACACACTACTGCGCTTCCCCTTCTCAGAATGTGTTTTTCTATACGAAAAATGTGTTACTATTCTGTTATTCTACTCTATCTTCTAGTAATCCACCTACCTCTTTCATATCCTATACATAACAACGATATCTCTCTCTACTCACTCATCACTCCTCACTCTTCACTGCTCACTGCTCACTGCTCACTCCTCACTCCTCCCCACCCATCCACCCATCCACCCATCCACCCATCCACCCATCCACCCATCCACCCATCCACCCATCCACCCATCCACCCATCCACCCATCCATTCCTCAACATACCATTATAAGAAGCTTCTAGATCATATATACCACACACACACACACATACACATATACACACATATACACCCCACCTACCAAACAACCCACATCAATCCAATTAAGTATATCTATCCTATTCCCAAGTTTTTGTTGTCTATTTACATTTACATATCATATGTATAGATGAAAATAAAAATGAAAATGAAGATGAATCTCACATACGCTATAGAGATCTAGATTGGGGTATTATGGGTTGGTTCTTGTGCGTACCTATCTAGGTATTATATGGATATGCAGTTATTTTTTCTGAAAGGTATGGTATGATATGGTATTGTATGAGATTAGATGAGATGAGATAGTGTAGGATGTTATGGAGGGGATGAGATGGGATGAGATGGGATGAGATGGGATGAGATGGGATGAGATGGGATGAGATGGGATGAGATGGGATGAGATGGGATGAGATGACGTGATATGAAATGAGATATCAAGTATCAAGCTGGACTCGATATTTCACACGTGGTGAGAGATGAGTGAAATGGTGTAGTATTATAATATTATATTCGACTGCACTGCGTTACCAGATGATTACAGTTGGGTTAGGGTTTATAGTGAGAGAAGGTACTATGTGTATATTACAGTCATGTATGTCTGAGAAGTGGTAGAAGTGAAGATGAAGAATCGATGCAGCAGAGAAGGTTTGCAGATTGGAGAATGCATATGAAGGAAGGAAACGAGTGTGAAGATGGGAATGAGGTTCGAGTTCCCATTCATATCGTCCGGACTAGGGAACGAGATGAATAGCTAGCTACCTACGATAATCTCCCAACATGCTATTGGATTCCAAAATAAAACCTCATATAAGTTTCATTATCAAAACCACAATGCAGACTCCAGGAAACTTTGTCTGGACTAAAATGACATGTGTGCTCCACCGGGGAACAACGATGCATCTTGACGTGCTTCAATGCAGCAGCAATATTTGCAGGATCGGGGATGTGGTTGGAAGAGACAAGGAATGCGTGCATTTACGTATAGGGGATCCATTTATGTGGATATGAAGTTGACGATGGAGTGAGTGCCTAAATTCAAGTCGAAATCTAGAACCCGTAACCCGTAAAAGGTGAAGAAGAGACTTGGAATTACTTGGTTTGATGTAACCTTGACATGCAATCCGACGTGTTTGGGTCTTCAAATGCTTATTAGCCAGAGATCTTCTTGGAGAGACATTGGTTGGATAAAAACGGATAATTGAGAGGTTACTTAGCGGGAACCTGATTACTCATATTGTTGGTACCGAAAAAACAAAATGATGCAAATATATCTCCGCTCGACATGAGTGTGGTAGCGCAGCCAAGGTGTCAACATCTTAGATCGCAGATGATTCCAGACTTCTACCTTGGTTCATTAGAACAACTTTTCTGCGCAAGATAAGGAGGATGCCATGCAATTCGAAAACAAACTTTTAACACAAAGAAATTTCAATCATCATTATTCACGGGTAGCCCGCTTAAAAAGATCTTTCCATGCACCGTATGCTATGTATGGTATAATGCACTTTGGTGGACCCGACGCAAGACTTTCTCAAAATGGAATCTTCAGATCAAAATAATCACATGATCTGGAACTCATGTGAGTGTGACGACGGGAATAAGAGGGAGAGCTTTGCGAGTAATTGAATATACCAAGCTGATACCCCTCGTCAAGAACAGGCACTAATCTGCAAGACTGGCGTCATTTCGATAAATCTGATACAAAGGTAATAATAAATGACATTCAGTAGAAAGACATCAGGTGGTGGTGTCGATGTTGGTATTTTTTCCTATCCGGCCCGACTTGGTTGCCGACGGAGGTCTTGTTGTACCCGATAGATCAGCCGGATCATCTTGCCCGTAGGTATATCATTTACTGGAGTTCATCAAAGGTTTCAGACCTTCTTCTTATTTCGCTTCAAGTATATGCTTGTACTTGTGAGGATAACCTGTCCTTGAGATCGATCATTTTTTCAAACCTGACATATCGTTACACTGACAACATGCGGGATGTCAGATTGTATAGGATCAATCTATGTGGGAAACAGATTCCCACGCATCAAAGTTCCGATTAGTAAATGATATCCAGTCAGAAGCGCACTATGAAGGAGAAAGTAGATTTCCTTTTGGCAAAATATGATAGCATAGCCTTGCTAAAGAAGAAAGTAGGATTGATGGCTTCTCGTCTCCAGAGTTCAAAAGTTGTTGCAGATCATACAAATGTTTGTCAAAACATGCCAAGTACAACTTCAAGTTTAGGTTTTGGAAGAATCGAGCCGCCATAAGCTAGACGTTATAATTCGTGGGGTCACTGTGAATAAGAGGCTTTCTATCTCAACATTGACTGGTTGACGTGACATCAAAGTCGTTCGAAAATAGGATGAGCTGCATCTAGAGGCACCGCTAAGATGATACCGACATGCCGAGACCCTTTGAAAACATCATGAAGGCAAGACGAATGATGAATGATGAATGATCTCCCAACAATTGGCAAAAACCTTATAGCAAATTGATGATTATGATGATTAGTTATTGCTGGATTGTTGCTTTTGATATTTGGTACGAGCAACCTTCATCAGCATCATCCGGAGATCCGATTAGATGAAACCTTCCGTTTCTCTTACATGTTTTCCCTTGCATAGGCCGCGGGATGCCTTTTTGGATCTTCTGGAAAGAGCTCGAAATCTGTCGTGGCCCCGCCCCCCCATGTTTTCCCATGTAAAGTCTGGTCTGATGTCTGACTTCTCATAGGAAGACTCGAAGACTCGGGATGAGTTATTGGTAACACGGAGAGAACATATCCCATGTCCATGCGTGGGGAGAAAAGCAAAAACTCCATTCTAAGGTTAGTCCCTCTCCCCTACATATATCAGAAGTAGCTAAGCTGAGGTGGGATATTCGGCGGTAGATGCGATAAACATAATGAATTACCTTTTTGGAGAACTAGACCTCGATGGATGTGATAGATGTGATAGATCATAGATGTCGTAGGCTTGATACCGGAAAAGCGGATAGAAGGAGTTTATAAGGTTGTTGTCTAGCTATATTGGTATCGAACCTAGGAGTGAACATCATATCAAAGATCGGTCTGAAGGTAAGGTGTAAAGTGTAAGATGTAGTGTGCATATATGATGTATGGCTTGATATTTGTCTTGGATGAACATCCACTTACATACAGCAAACCCTTGTCGGCGTGAAGACGTGGTTCTTGATACGTTCCAAGTTCCATTAATATATGTTGGACCATCACAAAAACTGTCTAGGTGTTGTATGTAGGAGGAATGGGGAAGGGGGGGAGGGGGAGGGGGTGAGGAGTCTGGGAGTCTGGGAGTCTGCGAGTGAGTCGATGAGATTGGGACAGATACCAAAGGCGGAAAACCAAAACCAAAACCAAAACCAAAACCAGACAAGAGTCTTCCTGCCGTGTCGACCTAGGGAATATCTAGCAGGCACATTACGAGATGGCTTCAATTGCTTACAAGGCGGTCGTGAACTGTGACTTTCCGGCCGTGAGCTTTTCTTTCTTTGAGCCCCACCATTCGTTCGAAGATTACCCACCTCGAGCCACCACCGGAAACCTGTGAAATCTTCCCCCGCAGCAACCGTTGATCTAAAAATTTACATAAAGCCATTCACCCCCTTTCACCTTTCGACACTTCTCGTTTTCTTTCTACGATCTTCTTCCCACATGTCATATATATTCTCGCGTTTGAGATCATCAACTGCAAGAATTCCAACTCAAGCCAAATTTCAATATAGAAACTTTTCTCGCACAAACGTCATCATGGGTGTCACAAAGCATATCATCAAGGAGGGTTCTGGTGAAACTCCTACAAATGGACAGACCGTCACCATTGAATATACCGGATGGTTGAAGGACACTTCCAAGGGAGACACTCTCGAGGCCCAAAAGGGCAACCAGTAAGTTCCTCCTCGAGAAGCTCAATTCGTGTCCTCATTTGTATACTAACAAACTGACTCGCACAATTCGATTCCTCTGTCGGCCGTGGTGCTTTCGTTGTTCAAATCGGTGTCGGCCAAGTCATCAAGGGTATTTTACCCCGCTACCCAATAAAAGTGACGCTGAATGCTTATTGACTTGGTATTAGGTTGGGATGAGGGTGTTACTCAAATGAAGGTCGGTGAGAAGGCTACTTTGGACATTACCCCGTAAGTTATTACCTACCAATGGCATTGTTAGATGGCCTTGCTAATATATCTTCACAGTGATTATGCCTATGGTGCCCGGTAAGACTATTCACATCCCCCGTCTCTTCGATCATTCCTCTTTCCAGAGGTCGACTGGACAACTTTTATCCTCGGAAAAAGACGGCAACACATTATGGAGGAACGGCATTGCTGATCTTTGTTTCTGTAGTGGTTTCCCCCCTGTCATCCCAGCCAACTCAACTCTTATCTTGTAAGTCTCAAAATCTATTTGATACCAGATCTACAAAGTACTTGACTAACCATATTTACAGTGACGTTGAGCTCAAAAAGATCGGCTAAACACGCGATATTCAAAAGTTTTCGATCATAGACCGCCATTAAGGCGAGAAGGCTCAGGCTCACGAAGAACGAACGAAGGAACGAGTAAATGAATGCATATTGGGTGGTGGCATATGTGAGCCGCCCATTAAGTTGAGAATGAATACCACGTTGTTTCTATGAAATCACCATGCACTTGGGACTTTGTGATGGTTATCAAACCTATGAATATTACATGAGGAGTGAACAGACGAGATACATGAATGGTGAACTTAATAAATCTGCAACGTACCCTTACAACCAGGGTGCGGATACCACCCCTCATGTACAGCTCGTATAGATTGGGTCAGAATGACGAGGGGCTGTGTATTGGCCTACCTAACTAGAGTAGGTAGTATGAGTATATGTTGCCGTCAGTTCACTCATCAGGCATCACGCATGTCAGACAGGGTCGACATGAGCGTTGATAGAGAATACAGGACTCTTTCAACCAGCCTTATGAGTCGAAAATGACATGATTCATGCAAGCCAGTCCGACTCATCTACTGAAATAAATGTCCTTGAGATGAGATGATTTCCATCGCCTACCATTCTTTTACCTCTCAGAGCTCCCAAACAGTACAGAATCTTGAAAAGTGCGTTGTTTGTAACAATCAAATAGCAATTCCATATACCGCGAGTGTTCTTAAAATATTGATACTCGAGGACGTCCTCATGTGTTGACGTGATTATTCCCATAAAATTAATTTTCTATCAAATCATGTCCTACTTCATAGATTCCTACTAGGTACGAGGGATGCCAGGTCCAGTGTAGTTATGTCATTTTTACTCTAGATGTTTCCATTTGTCAGGTCAGTGCTAGAGCCTCAGTGGCTGGGGAGGTGGTGGTGGATTGTGCGAGGCGAAGGGCATTTTGATACTGTAAGCAACCCGCTGCTTCCAATTCCAATTCTTATCAATACAGTAACATTGATCAAAATCATTTGACATTTCATCATTCCATTCTTTTTTTGAATCCAAAGAAACCACAAACCACAAACCACAAACCACAAACCACAAAACGCAGTGAATCCCAATCATCGAACGAACATCCAACCTCTTTTCGAGAACGTTATTAGCTCAGTTTCCTCTACCTAGGTAATACTGCACCTCGCAAGGCGATAACCCCACAATATCCAACTACTCACGATCCGAGCCTTAAGTTGGTACACTCTAGTGAACCAGAAGAATAACACCCTTTTTCTGGAATCCTTTATCAAACGCCAACATTCCGTCAACAGTAGATTTAAACGGTGCTGGTAACCTGGGAAAACGTAAACTCTCCAACGCGGATTCTCAGAGGCCAGATAAAAAGATGATGACGGTAAGTGAAAGCTACCCCTCCAAATCATCAGCTATCTTGAAGCTCGAGCTTCGAGCTCTCTCAAATCATCTTCTTTCTAGTATTGCACAAACTAATATCGTTACTTTCTCACTAGGCCATACACACGAAAGATAAAGACATGGAGACTAAGATGCAGGTAGATGAGTCGGTGGTTGGCAATAACGAGATCGATGAATCGCTTTACAGCAGACAACTTTACGTTTTAGGACATGAGGCCATGAAGCGTATGGGTGCTTCGAATGTGCTGATTGTGGGACTCAAGGGACTCGGTGTCGAGATTGCGAAGAACATTGCTTTGGCAGGTGTCAAAAGTCTTACCCTCTATGATCCTGCGCCCGCCGCCATCTCCGACCTTTCATCTCAATTCTTTCTACATCCTGAAGATGTGGGAAAGCCAAGAGCGGAAGTGACCGCACCACGCGTTGCTGAGCTAAACGCATATACACCGGTTTCCGTCCACAAGTCATCCAGGTTAGTAATTCATTTTGGCGCGAGGCTAGAATTTTGCTAACTTTAGCTCCCGCAGCTTAACAGAGGAACTCACTCAATTCGATCGATACCAAGTCGTTGTCCTGACCAATACTCCCCTCAAGGACCAAATCATAATTGGTGATTATTTACATAGCAAGGGAATCTACCTGGTAGTTGCGGATACATTTGGTCTCTTTGGATCAATCTTTTGCGACTTTGGTGATAAGTTCACTGTTCTTGATCCCACAGGCGAAGCTCCAGTCAGTGGCATTGTTGCTGGAATCAACGAGGAAGGTTTAGTATCAGCCTTGGATGAAACACGACACGGCCTTGAGGATGGGGATTACGTTACTTTCACCGAGTTGGAAGGGCTAGAAGCTTTGAACGGCGCAGAGCCTCGAAAGGTAACAGTAAAGGGGCCATACACTTTCTCTATCGGAGATGTTACTGGACTTGGTCAATACAAGAAGGGTGGAATGTACCAACAGGTCAAAATGCCAAAGTTCATTGACTTCAAGCCATTGTCCGCTGCTTTGAAGGACCCAGAACATCTTATTTCCGACTACGCAAAATTCGATCGTCCTCAGCAGCTCCATGTCGGTTTCCAGGCTCTTCATGGTTTCCAAGAATCTCAAGGTCGTCTTCCAAAACCGATGAATAAGGAAGACTCCCTAGTCATTGTCGAGTCTGCTAAGACCTTTATCAAAAATCAAAAGCTGGATATTGAAGTGGATGAGAAGTTGATCGCCGAGTTAAGTTACCAAGCTCAAGGTGATTTGAACCCAATGGCAGCTTTCTTCGGTGGTCTCGCCGCTCAAGAAGTGTTGAAGGCTGTTTCTGGGAAATTCCACCCAATCAATCAATGGATGTACTTCGACTCTTTGGAGTCCCTTCCTACCAGTTTCAAACGGACCGAGGAAACATGCAAACCCCTCAATTCTCGATACGATGGTCAAATTGTTGTATTTGGTCAAGAATACCAAGAAAAGCTTTCCAACATCACCCAGTTCTTGGTTGGTGCCGGTGCTATTGGTTGCGAAATGTTGAAGAATTGGGCCATGATTGGTTTAGCCACAGGCCCAAAGGGTAAGATCTTTGTCACTGATATGGATTCGATCGAAAAGAGCAATCTCAACCGTCAATTCCTCTTCAGACCTAAAGATGTTGGCAAGTTGAAGAGTGATTGTGCTGCTGAGGCAGTACAAGCAATGAATCCTGATCTTAAAGGTCATATTGTTACCATGCGTGATCGAGTTGGTCAAGATACCGAACATATTTTCAACGAGCAATTCTGGTACCAACTTGATGGCGTTACTAACGCTCTCGACAATGTTGATGCGCGAACTTACGTTGATCGTCGTTGTGTCTTTTTCCGAAAGCCTTTGTTGGAGAGTGGAACCCTTGGTACTAAGTGTAACACACAGGTTGTTCTCCCTCATCTGACCGAGTCATATTCCAGCTCTCAAGATCCTCCCGAGCAATCTTTCCCAATGTGTACACTTCGAAGTTTCCCTAACAAGATTGAACATACCATTGCTTGGTCTCGAGAATTGTTCGAATCATACTTTGTCAAGCCAGCAGAAACAGTCAATTTATACCTCACTCAGCCAGACTACCTCGAAAAAACCTTGAAACAGGGTGGCCAAGAAAAAGCAACCCTAGAAACGATTCTAGATTTCTTAGTTGAGGATAAGCCATTGTCTGTTGAGGACTGTATCAAGTGGGCTCGTCTACAATTCGAGAAGCAATACAATAATAACATTCAACAATTACTGTACAACTTCCCTAAGGATTCGACTACATCAAGCGGTACACCATTTTGGTCTGGACCAAAACGTGCTCCAGATCCATTGAAGTTTGACCCCAAGAATCAATATCATTGGGATTTCGTTGTCGCTGGTGCTAGCCTTCATGCCTTCAACTATGGAATCAACACCACTGGCCTCAACTCAAGCACAATTCAAAAAGTTCTTGATAACATGATCATCCCCGATTTCTCTCCCAGCTCTTCCGTCAAGATTCAAGCTGATGACAGTGAACCTGTAAGTTTCGTTTTTCTCATTACACTATGAAGTATGTCTGACAACCTTAGGATCCAAATGCTGGAAACAGCTCATTCGATGACAGCACGGAGCTTCAAAATCTCATGGCTAAGCTTCCATCGCCTAAATCATTGGCTGGTTTGAAACTTTCACCAGTAGAGTTTGAGAAGGATGATGATACAAACCACCACATTGACTTTATCACCGCTGCTAGTAACTTGCGTGCCGAGAATTACAAGATTGAGCTTGCCGATAGACACAAGACAAAGTTTATTGCTGGCAAGATTATTCCTGCTATTGCAACCACTACTGCTCTTGCCACGGGATTGGTAATCATGGAATTTTACAAGATTATCGATGGTAAAGATGACATTGAGCAATACAAGAACGGCTTCGTCAACTTGGCCCTACCTTTCTTTGGATTCAGTGAACCTATCGCTAGTCCAAAGGCTACATACAAAGGTCACACAGGAGAAGTCTCTATTGACAAACTCTGGGATCGATTTGAGGTTGAGGATATTACTCTTCAAGAACTCATCGACGACTTCTCAAAGAACAAGGGTCTCGATATCACTATGTTGAGTTCGGGTGTTAGTCTCTTGTATGCCAGCTTTTTCCCCAAGGCAAAGTTGGCGGATCGATTGAATTTGAAGCTCAGCGAACTTGTCGAGCTCATTTCCAAGAAGCCTATCCCAAGTCATCAAAAGACGGTGATCTTCGAAATTTGTGTTGAAGATCAAGATGAAGAAGATGTAGAAGTTCCTTATATTATGATGAAGTTGGGCAATTAACGACACAATGAAGATGAAGGGGCATACATTTTATGGGACTAAAATTAGAGTAGCACGCGAATTATGAATTTAGCAAATTATAAATACCTTACAAACATGGGTGTCATTAATGTGTTGAATAATGTCAAACAGCATCTGGATACGTACGTGGGGATTATGATTATTACTATCGTATGGGATTTTGAGTTCTCTGATAAATGATAAATCCATGTCGAGGGGGCGAAAAGCTCTACTCTTCATTGAAAAATTCTTGATACTCTTTGATCGATTCTTGCTTGGTCAGGAATTACCTACAAAATGGTCAGCAATTACCAAAATCCCCCAAATCCACGAAGTTCGCTCTTTTCGCTCTTTGGAAGAGGCCTGTGTCTGTTGTGTTGTGTAAACTTAATAACTTAGTAAGTGCTTTGCAGAAGAAATGTAAGCAGACTCGGCAGATTAGCAAGGATGCACCAATATAGCTCCAATCAATGACAAATCTCTACCCCGCCATCCATCTTCAAGCTTCCCATTCTTCCTTTGTATCACAACATATAAAGGGGAACAACATCACCTCTCTGCTTTCAATTCAACTCAATTCAACTCAACTAATGCTCTCTAGACTTCGTCAGTTATCTGTACAGCTTCCAACCCTTTCAAATTTACCAATAAGAGGTTTCAGTTCTAGTAAATCTATAAATATGGTTCGTTGGCTTCAAGCTCTCGTGAGATAGACATTTACTGACACGAGAAATACATAGGCCGAACAAAAGATCACTAATTGGGTGCCACTTAACGATAAGACGGGAGAATTTAAGAGAGGGCAATCTCAATTTCGAAATTTCATTAAGAAAGGAGGAGAATTTCCACCCGAGAAAGGAAGATATCATCTCTATGTAAATACTCCTTCCCTCCTTCCCACTTCCACCCATTCGTTTGAGGTCGAGCATTTCCCGGCTAACCATAAACCCAATTAGGTATCTTATGCCTGTCCATGGGCTCACCGCGCATTGATCGTGCGCAAACTTAAAGGTCTTGAGGATATCATTCCATATACTAGTGTACATTGGCATATGGCAGAAAAAGGATGGCGATTTGCAACTTCTGAAGATGATGTCACTGGTGAGAATGTTACAGCTTCTCCAGTTGAAGCCCACAAAGGATATACCCATTTGAGAGATATCTATTTCCAAGTCGATCCGGAATATAGTGGGAGATTCACAGTCCCCACTCTTTATGATGTGAAGCAGGGAAAGATTGTTAGTAATGAGAGTAGTGAAATCATTAGGATGTTTTACACTGAGGTAGGTTTGGACTTTTTGTTTTGCTTTCTGAGGAACTTTGGGTAACAGGCACTGATATTGAGATAGTTCGATGACATCATTGCTCCGGAATACAAGAATGTCGATCTCTTTCCTGCCAATCTCCAAAAGGAAATTGAAGCTACAAATGAATGGACATACAATGATATCAACAATGGAGTCTACAAATCTGGCTTCGCCATTAAGCAGGAAGCATATGAGAAGGCTGTGATTCAACTCTTCGCATCCTTGGATCGGGTTGAGAAACATTTGAGTGAGAATGAGGGACCGTATTATTATGGAAAGAATATTACCGAAGCGGATGTGAGATTGTTCACTACAATTATTCGTTTCGACGTCGTTTATGTTCAACACTTTAAGGTATACATTCACTCAGCTCGACACTTGGTCAAGCGCGACAATTGCTAATGAGTTTAAAAGACAAACATCCGAGATATTCGATCAGGATACCCATATATCCATCAGTGGTTAAGGAATCTGTATTGGAATGTTCCAGCATTTGGAGAGACCACTGAGTTTACCCACATTAAAAACCATTATACGAAGAGTCACACTCAAGTATGTGCCTTTATTTCTTTTAGAGAGGCGAGCTTTATACTAACTGAATTATAGATTAATCCATTCAGTATTGCTCCCGTGGGACCTGAGCCACCTATCTTGAGAGAAGATGAAGAAGTTCCAGCTGTTAAGTGGGCTTTGAGTTTGAGGAAGTGAGATGGTGAGCGGTGTGTTGAGTTAGGAAATTAGAACAGATGAAAGGTATTAGCCTTTAGTGCTGTGGTAATAAATTTATATGGAATATTGACCTCACTCTATTCGTTAAATTGCCTTTAACTTTGATTGATACGTGAAAGCATTTATCTTGGCTTAAAATTATTTACAGGTTCTTGCCTACATCCCCGGAAAGTTGTTCACATTGACCCTCCTGTTTGATCTTTTGGGAATAGTCTCCCGGTCCTCCTACACCTACCTATACAGGCTATATATCTGAAAGAATGCAATGGGCTTCAATTATCCGAATCCGCCAACGCTTCTATTTTGGGGACCATACTGTGTGTGATATTACATATCTTGTGAGGTTTTACTATTCGATTCATTTCTTCTCTCCTCATATCCTCTTCTCCCATTGATTGTTCTCTCATTGATTGTTCGCTCCTTTACTACCCGCTTCTTTCATTTTCTCGGTGGGATGTTCGTTCGCATCAAGTGGTTTTTTTATATGGCACGAGTGATGAATTAACAGTTATGTTTGGGAATTGCTTGTGATGTTTTTCGTGGGTTTGATTAATTAGGTATTCAGTGGGTGGTTGGGTGGTTGGATTGGGTGGTGGGATTGGGATGGTTGAGATGGGGATGGTTGAGATGGGGATGGTTGAGATGGGGATGGTTGAGATGGGGATGGTTAAGATGGGGATGGTTGAGATGAGGATGGTTGAGATGGGGATGGTTGAGATAGGGATGGTTGAGATGGGGATGAGGTGATTGGGATGGTTGAGATAGGGATGAGGTGATTGGGATATTTGATTTTTGTAAAGTGTGAGATGTGAGGTATGAAAGCTCTTGTGTGGTGAGAAGTAATATAATGTTATCTTGGTGTTTTTTAGGCGAGAGTGTGGGGAGGTGAATGGGAGGGAGGAGGTGGATGGGAGGAGGTGGATGGGAGGAAGTGGATGGGAGGAGGTGAATAAGAGGAGGAGGTGAATAAGAGGAGGAGGTGAATATAAAAAGTGAATATAAAAAGTGAATATCAAAAAGTGAATGTGAGAAGGTGAATGTGAGAAGGTGAATGTAAGAAGGTGAATGTAAGAAGGTGAATGTAAGAAGGTGAATGTAAGAAAACAAATATAAGGAAGTAAATGTGAGGAGGTGAATAAGAGAAAGTGAATAAGAGAAAGTGAATAAGAGAAAGTGAATAAGAGAAAGTGAATATATCAAACCCGATTTTTATACGAAAAATTACACGAATCTTCAAGCGAGATATCTGATGTATATCTATCAGGATAGTCGCAGAGTACATACTCCTCAAGCGAGCTTCTCGTCTACTATTCTCTCTATCCTAACTCATATTTATATCACTCCTACTCCCCTTTCATTTTATTTTTCATCTTATTATTCCCTAAATCCATCAACCCCTCTAAACCCATCAACCGCCATTCCCTCCGCTTCATATCTCTATCTAATGGTAAAATCATACTTTTTGCCCTCCCATATAGTCTAAACCAAGCAACCCTCGCCGAATCCTCAATTCTCTTTCTCTCTCTCACCCATCCTCTTTCACACATTCTTTTTCATATACCTCCCTCTCGCTTTCTCTCACTATTTGTTATTCTCGTTCTACCCTCTTCATTCATCGATTCTCTTCATCTATTCTCTTCATAAATCACAAGCTCAAAAGCTTCATCTACCATACAAATTCCCCTCCTGCCCTCCCCGGCACCACACTTCATCGCTTCTTCACTTACCAACACTTACCAACCTCACATCTGTCTACATCAACCTCACATCTATCACCCTCACATCTGTCTACATCAACCTCACATCATCACATCATCCGTATCTACCAACCCACCCACCCATACCTATCCAATCCCCAATCCCCAATTTCCAACCTCCCATCTATCCAACCCCCTCCCTCCTCCCTCCTCCCCCCTCCCTCCTCCCCCCGCCCCAAAACACCCCCCGCAACCTCCCCAGCCGCGCTCAAAATTTTAAATTTTAAATTTTAAATCCAACAAACAAGAACAAGAACAAGACAAGAACAATAAAAGAGAAGAGAATAGAATAGAATAGAATAGAATAGAATAGAATAGAATAGAATAGAATAGAATAGAATAGAATAGAATAGAATAGAATAGAATAGAATAGAATAGAATAGAATAGAATAGAATAGAATAGAAGAGAATAGAATAGAATAGAATAGAATAGTATATCTAGATGTGATAGCTTGAATACTAGCTAGGTATGTTGGGTATGATAGGTATATATATATAATTATTGAGCTTTATACGATATCGAGCGGTAGAGATATAAGGTTTACTTATCACTATCACTACCACTGTCACTTTTACTATCAGTGCAGACAGGTATCATGTATAATACAATACAAAATACATATAAGAAAGAGAGAACGTTAGATGTAGTCAGATAATCTTCATCACATAACATCACATCACATCATGCGAGGCCGACTCTTTTTTCCCCTCTATACATACCTAGGAATAGACTGAGAGAGACTAGCGAGTTTTTCTTTATGTACCTGTGTATATATATCTCTTGCGGATACTTTTGAGTTCTGGATACTGCTTTGGTTCTTTTGATATGTATATATTGAATTGTATTTAGAGGCCTTGAGTATTATTCGCCCTGTTGACATACGACTGCTTCTGACAGGTAATTGCTACCGATAGTCTTTCTCCCGCTTCATCATCGAAAATGCAATTATACTTCCCATTCATGTGCGTTCCATATTTGCGCCAAGAATATAAAGGGAAAAGGAAAATAAAAGATAAGTAACATGGATCATTAAAGAAACACTGCTTGCGCCCAAAAATCCATTCTATTCCCATTCTAAGTATGCGCCAACGCTTTGGGTATACCGTAGAAATACACCAGCTAATACCCAATTACTCCATGCCTTGACCCTTTTATACAATTCCCTTTTTAACCTTCGTCTGTACCCTCACAGTCGGTAAGGCCCAC